CCTTCAACTATTCATCCAAGCGCCAACAGCGAGCTGACTCGTCTCAACAAGTCACCAGCCATCGTCCACACACCCCGAGGTCTTTTTGACGTCGAGGACTACACCAACACACAAACGGGCAAAACCGGCCGTGGTGGTAGGACGAACTCCGACAGATCGACGATTGTGCCGCTGGCTTCAGTCGACGGTTGAAGGGGTGTCTGCTGTTTGACTACGCCGTAAAGCGAGCTTGTCCCGCAATGAGTCGGGCTACGAGGTAGGCTAAGCAGCCCTAACCAGTAGTCCTGCGCAGCTGTTGGAAACAGAGCCAGATGTATGGTTTGCCTCGCGGAGAAGCATAATGGCGCGGTGTTGTCGTAGGCGCCCCAGCACAGCGTGCAAGTGGAGGTGAGTCGAACAAAGAGTTGGACACACCGGGGATTGAACAAAGCGGACGCGCTACCACTGCGCTATGCGCCCAGCAAATCGATAACCTAACCTCCACCTTTGACACGAATTTATGACGCCCCCACGCGCGATATAGTCACGCATTCACATACAGCACATTTGCATGCACTTGCACTATCCTCTTCCACCCGCTTCTTGCATCGAATTGCACGTTTGGCCTTCAACTATTCATCCAAGCGCCAACAGCGAGCTGACTCGTCCAAACAAGTCACCAGCCATCGCCACACACCCGAGTCTTTTGACGTCGAGACTACACCAACACACAAACGGCAAAACCGGCGTGGTGGTAGGACGAACTCGACAGATCGACGATTGTGCCGCTGGCTTCAGTCGACGGTTGAGGGGTGTCTGCTGTTTGACTACGCCGTAAAGCGAGCTTGTCCCGCAATGAGTCGGGCTACGAGGTAGGCTAAGCAGCCCTAACCAGTAGTCCTGCGCAGCTGTTGGAAACAGAGCCAGATGTATGGTTTGCCTCGCGGAGAAGCATAATGGCGCGGTGTTGTCGTAGGCGCCCCAGCACAGCGTGCGAGTGGAGGTGAGTCGAACAAAGAGTTGGACACACCGGGGATTGAACCCGGGGCCTTCCGCTTGCAAAGCGGACGCGCTACCACTGCGCTATGCGCCCAGCAAATCGATAACCTAACCTCCACCTTTGACACGAATTTGTGACGCCCCCACGCGCGATATAGTCACGCATTCACATACAGCACATTTGCATGCACTTGCACTATCCTCTACCACCCGCTTCTTGCATCGAATTGCACGTTTGGCCTTCAACTATTCATCCAAGCGCCAACAGCGAGCTGACTCGTCCAAACAAGTCACCAGCCATCGCCACACACCCGAGTCTTTTGACGTCGAGACTACACCAACACACAAACGGCAAAACCGGCGTGGTGGTAGGACGAACTCGACAGATCGACGATTGTGCCGCTGGCTTCAGTCGACGGTTGAGGGGTGTCTGCTGTTTGACTACGCCGTAAAGCGAGCTTGTCCCGCAATGAGTCGGGCTACGAGGTAGGCTAAGCAGCCCTAACCAGTAGTCCTGCGCAGCTGTTGGAAACAGAGCCAGATGTATGGTTTGCCTCGCGGAGAAGCATAATGGCGCGGTGTTGTCGTAGGCGCCCCAGCACAGCGTGCAAGTGGAGGTGAGTCGAACAAAGAGCTGGACACACCGGGGATTGAACCCGGGGCCTTCCGCTTGCAAAGCGGACGCGCTACCACTGCGCTATGCGCCCAGCAAATCGATAACCTAACCTCCACCTTCCACACAAATTTATGACGCCCCCACGCGCGATATAGTCACGCATACACATACAGCACATTTGCATGCACTTGCACTATCCTCTACCACCCGCTTCTTGCATCGAATTGCACGTTTGGCCTTCATCTATTCATCCAAGCGCCAACAGCGAGCTGACTCGTCCAAACAAGTCACCAGCCATCGCCACACACCCGAGTCTTTTGACGTCGAGACGACACCAACACACAAACGGCAAAACCGGCGTGGTGGTAGGACGAACTCGACCGACCGACGATTGTGCCGCTGGCTTCAGTCGACGGTTGAGGGGTGTCTGCCGTTTGACTACGCCGTAAAGCGAGCTTGTCCCGCAATGAGTCGGGCTACGAGGTAGGCTAAGCAGCCCTAACCAGTAGTCCTGCGCAGCTGTTGGAAACAGAGCCAGATGTATGGTTTGCCTCGCGGAGAAGCATAATGGTGCGCTGTTGGCGTAGGCGCCCCAGCACAGCGTGCGAGTGGAGGTGAGTCGAGCAAAGAGTTGGACACGAACCCGAGGCCTTCCGCTTGCAAAGCGGACGCGCTACCACTGCGCTATGCGCCCAGCAAATCGATAACCTAACCTCCACCTTCCACACGAATTTATGACGCCCCCACGCGCGATATAGTCACGCATTCACATACAGCACATTTGCATGCACTTGCACTATCCTCTACCACCCGCTTCTTGCATCGAATTGCACGTTTGGCCTTCAACTATTCATCCAAGCGCCAACAGCGAGATGACTCGTCCAAACAAGTCACCAGCCATCGCCACACACCCGAGTCTTTTGACGTCGAGACTACACCAACACACAAACGGCAAAACCGGCGGGGTGGTAGGACGAACTCGACAGATCGACGATTGTGCCGCTGGCTTCAGTCGACGGTTGAGGGGTGTCTGCTGTTTGACTACGCCGTAAAGCGAGCTTGTCCCGCAATGAGTCGGGCTACGAGGTAGGCTAAGCAGCCCTAACCAGTAGTCCTGCGCAGCTGTTGGAAACAGAGCCAGATGTATGGGTTGCCTCGCGGAGAAGCATAATGGCGCGGTGTTGTCGTAGGCGCCCCAGCACAGCGTGCAAGTGGAGGTGAGTCGAACAAAGAGTTGGACACACCGGGGATTGAACCCGGGGGCTTTCCGCTTGCAAAGCGGACGCGCTACCACTGCGCTATGCGCCAACAAAATCGATAACCTAACCTCCACCTTCCACACGAATTTATGACGCCCCCACGCGCGATATAGTCACGCATTCACATACAGCACATTTGCATGCACTTGCACTATCCTCTACCACCCGCTTCTTGCATCGAATTGCACGTTTGGCCTTCAACTATTCATCCAAGCGCCAACAGCGAGCTGACTCGTCCAAACAAGTCACCAGCCATCGCCACACACCCGAGTCTTTTGACGTCGAGACGACACCAACACACAAACGGCAAAACCGGCGTGGTGGTAGGACGAACTCGACAGATCGACGATTGTGTCGCTGGCTTCAGTCGACGGTTGAGGGGTGTCTGCTGTTTGACTACGCCGTAAAGCGAGCTTGTCCCGCAATGAGTCGGGCTACGAGGTAGGCTAAGCAGCCCTAACCAGTAGTCCTGCGCAGCTGTTGGAAACAGAGCCAGATGTATGGTTTGCCTCGCGGAGAAGCATAATGGCGCGGTGTTGTCGTAGGCGCCCCCAGCACAGCGTGCAAGTGGAGGTGAGTCGAACAAAGAGTTGGACACACCGGGGATTGAACCCGGGGCCTTCCGCTTGCAAAGCGGACGCGCTACCACTGCGCTATGCGCCCAGCAAATCGATAACCTAACCTCCACCTTCCACACGAATTTATGACGCCCCCACGCGCGATATAGTCACGCATTCACATACAGCACATTTGCATGCACTTGCACTATCCTCTACCACCCGCTTCTTGCATCGAATTGCACGTTTGGCCTTCAACTATTCATCCAAGCGCCAACAGCGAGCTGACTCGTCCAAACAAGTCACCAGCCATCGCCACACACCCGAGTCTTTTGACGTCGAGACGACACCAACACACAAACGGCAAAACCGGCGTGGTGGTAGGACGAACTCGACAGATCGACGATTGTGCCGCTGGCTTCAGTCGACGGTTGAGGGGTGTCTGCTGTTTGACTACGCCGTAAAGCGAGCTTGTCCCGCAATGAGTCGGGCTACGAGGTAGGCTAAGCAGCCCTAACCAGTAGTCCTGCGCAGCTGTTGGAAACAGAGCCAGATGTATGGTTTGCCTCGCGGAGAAGCATAATGGCGCGCTGTTGTCGTAGGCGCCCCAGCACAGCGTGCAAGTGGAGGTGAGTCGAACAAAGAGTTGGACACACCGGGGATTGAACAAAGCGGACGCGCTACCACTGCGCTATGCGCCCAGCAAATCGATAACCTAACCTCCACCTTTGACACGAATTTATGACGCCCCCACGCGCGATATAGTCACGCATTCACATACAGCACATTTGCATGCACTTGCACTATCCTCTACCACCCGCTTCTTGCATCGAATTGCACGTTTGGCCTTCAACTATTCATCCAAGCGCCAACAGCGAGCTGACTCGTCCAAACAAGTCACCAGCCATCGCCACACACCCGAGTCTTTTGACGTCGAGACGACACCAACACACAAACGGCAAAACCGGCGTGGTGGTAGGACGAACTCGACAGATCGACGATTGTGCCGCTGGCTTCAGTCGACGGTTGAGGGGTGTCTGCTGTTTGACTACGCCGTAAAGCGAGCTTGTCCCGCAATGAGTCGGGCTACGAGGTAGACTAGCCAGTCCTTACCAGTCATGCGCAGTGGTCGAAAACAAAGCCAGATGTATGGTTTGCCTCGCGGAGAAGCATAACGGCGCGGTGTTGTCGTAGGCGCCCCAGCACAGCGTGCAAGTGGTAGGTGAGTCGAACAAAGAGTTGGACACACCGGGGATTGAACCCGGGGGCCTTCCGCTTGCAAAGCGGAACGCGCTACCACTGCGCTATGCGCCCAGCAAATCGATAACCTAACCTCCACCTTCCACACAAATTTATGACGCCCCCACGCGCGATATAGTCACGCATACACATACAGCACATTTGCATGCACTTGCACTATCCTCTACCACCCGCTTCTTGCATCGAATTGCACGTTTGGCCTTCAACTATTCATCCAAGCGCCAACAGCGAGCTGACTCGTCCAAACAAGTCACCAGCCATCGCCACACACCCGAGTCTTTTGACGTCGAGACGACACCAACACACAAACGGCAAAACCGGCGTGGTGGTAGGACGAACTCGACAGATCGACGATTGTGCCGCTGGCTTCAGTCGACGGTTGAGGGGTGTCTGCTGTTTGACTACGCCGTAAAGCGAGCTTGTCCCGCAATGAGTCGGGCTACGAGGTAGGCTAAGCAGCCCTAACCAGTAGTCCTGCGCAGCTGTTGGAAACAGAGCCAGATGTATGGCTTGCCTCGCGGAGAAGCATAATGGCGCGGTGTTGTCGTAGGCGCCCCAGCACAGCGTGCAAGTGGAGGTGAGTCGAACAAAGAGTTGGACACACCGGGGATTGAACCCGGGGCCTTCCGCTTGCAAAGCGGACGCGCTACCACTGCGCTATGCGCCCAGCAAATCGATAACCTAACCTCCACCTTCCACACAAATTTATGACGCCCCCACGCGCGATATAGTCACGCATTCACATACAGCACATTTGCATGCACTTGCACTATCCTCTACCACCCGCTTCTTGCATCGAATTGCACGTTTGGCCTTCAACTATTCATCCAAGCGCCAACAGCGAGCTGACTCGTCCAAACAAGTCACCAGCCATCGCCACACACCCGAGTCTTTTGACGTCGAGACGACACCAACACACAAACGGCAAAACCGGCGAGGTGGTAGGACGAACTCGACAGATCGACGATTGTGCCGCTGGCTTCAGTCGACGGTTGAGGGGTGTCTGCTGTTTGACTACGCCGTAAAGCGAGCTTGTCCCGCAATGAGTCGGGCTACGAGGTAGGCTAAGCAGCCCTAACCAGTAGTCCTGCGCAGCTGTCGGAAACAGAGCCAGATGTATGGTTTGTCTCGCGGAGAAGCATAATGGCGCGGTGTTGTCGTACGCCCCACAACACAGGGTGAGACGAGAAGTGAGTTGAACACACCGGTGAATGAACCCGGGATCGTCCGCTTGGCCTGCGGATGCGCTAGCACAGCGCTATGCGCCGCGCTAATCGATCACCTAATCTACACCTTACCCTCAATTTATGACGCCCCCACGCGCGATATAGTCACGCATTCACATACAGCACATTTGCATGCACTTGCACTATCCTCTTCCACCCGCTTCTTGTATCGAATTGCACGTTTGGCCTTCAACTATTCATCCAAGCGCCAACAGCGAGCTGACTCGTCCAAACAAGTCACCAGCCATCGCCACACACCCGAGTCTTTTGACGTCGAGACTACACCAACACACAAACGGCAAAACCGGCGGGGTGGTAGGACGAACTCGACAGATCGACAATTGTGCCGCTGGCTTCAGTCGACGGTTGAGGGGAGTCTGCTGTTTGACTACGCCGTAAAGCGAGCTTGTCCCGCAATGAGTCGGGCTACGAGGTAGGCTAGCAAGCCCTAACCAGTAGTCCTGCGCAGCTGTTGGAAACAGAGCCAGATGTATGGTTTGCCTCGCGGAGAAGCATAATGGCGCGCTGTTGTCGTAGGCGCCCCAGCACAGCGTGCAAGTGGAGGTGAGTCGAACAAAGAGTTGGACACACCGGGGATTGAACAAAGCGGACGCGCTACCACTGCGCTATGCGCCCAGCAAATCGATAACCTCACCTCCATCTCTGACACGAATATATGACGCCCCCACGCGCGATATAGTCGCGCATACACATACAGCACATGTGCATGCACGTGCACTATCCTCTACCACCCGCTTCGTGCATCGAAGTGCACGTTTGGTCTTCAACTATTCATCCGAGCGCCACAGCGAGCTGACTCGTCCAAACAAGTCATCAGCCATCGCCACACACCCGAGTCTTTTGACGTCGAGACGACACCAACACACAAACAGCAAAACCGGCGTGGTGGTAGGACGAACTCGACAGATCGACGATTGTGCCGCTGGCTTCAGTCGACGGTTGAGGGGTGTCTGCTGTTTGACTACGCCGTAAAGCGAGCTTGTCCCGCAATGAGTCGGGCTACGAGGTAGACTAGCCAGTCTTTACCAGTCCTGCGCAGCTGTCGAAAACAAAGCCAGATGTATGGTTTGCCTCGCGGAGAAGCATAATGGCGCGGTGTTGTCGTAGGCGCCCCAGCACAGCGTGCAAGTGGAGGTGAGTCGAACAAAGAGTTGGACACACCGGGGATTGAACCCGGGGCCTTCCGCTTGCAAAGCGGACGCGCTACCACTGCGCTATGCGCCCAGCAAATCGATAACCTAACCTCCACCTTCCACACGAATTTATGACGCCCCCACGCGCGATATAGTCACGCATTCACATACAGCACATTTGCATGCACTTGCACTATCCTCTACCACCCGCTTCTTGCATCGAATTGCACGTTTGGCCTTCAACTATTCATCCAAGCGCCAACAGCGAGCTGACTCGTCCAAACAAGTCACCAGCCATCGCCACACACCCGAGTCTTTTGACGTCGAGACTACACCAACACACAAACGGCAAAACCGGCGTGGTGGTAGGACGAACTCGACAGATCGACGATTGTGCCGCTGGCTTCAGTCGACGGTTGAGGGGTGTCTGCTGTTTGACTACGCCGTAAAGCGAGCTTGTCCCGCAATGAGTCGGGCTACGAGGTAGGCTAAGCAGCCCTAACCAGTAGTCCTGCGCAGCTGTTGGAAACAGAGCCAGATGTATGGTTTGCCTCGCGGAGAAGCATAATGGCGCGGTGTTGTCGTAGGCGCCCCAGCACAGCGTGCAAGTGGAGGTGAGTCGAACAAAGAGTTGGACACACCGGGGATTGAACCCGGGGCCTTCCGCTTGCAAAGCGGACGCGCTACCACTGCGCTATGCGCCCAGCATATCGATAGCCTAACCTCCACCTTCCACACAAATTTATGACGCCCCCACGCGCGATATATTCACGCATTCACATATAGCACATTTGCATGCACTTGCACTATCCTCTACCACCCGCTTCTTGCATCGAATTGCACGTTTGGCCTTCATCTATTCATCCAAGCGCCAACAGCGAGCTGACTCGTCCAAACAAGTCACCAGCCATCGCCACACACCCGAGTCTTTTGACGTCGAGACGACACCAACACACAAACGGCAAAACCGGCGAGGTGGTAGGACGAACTCGACAGATCGACGATTGTGCCGCTGGCTTCAGTCGACGGTTGAGGGGTGTCTGCTGTTTGACTACGCCGTAAAGCGAGCTTGTCCCGCAATGAGTCGGGCTACGAGGTAGGCTAAGCAGCCCTAACCAGTAGTCCTGCGCAGCTGTTGGAAACAGAGCCAGATGTATGGTTTGTCTCGCGGAGAAGCATAATGGCGCGGTGTTGTCGTAGGCGCCCCAGCACAGCGTGCGAGTGGAGGTGAGTCGAACAAAGAGTTGGACACACCGGGGATTGAACCCGGGGCCTTCCGCTTGCAAAGCGGACGCGCTACCACTGCGCTATGCGCCCAGCAAATCGATAACCTAACCTCCACCTTTGACACAAATTTGTGACGCCCCCACGCGCGATATAGTCACGCATTCACATACAGCACATTTGCATGCACTTGCACTATCCTCTACCACCCGCTTCTTGCATCGAATTGCACGTTTGGCCTTCAACTATTCATCCAAGCGCCAACAGCGAGCTGACTCGTCCAAACAAGTCACCAGCCATCGCCACACACCCGAGTCTTTTGACGTCGAGACTACACCAACACACAAACGGCAAAACCGGCGTGGTGGTAGGACGAACTCGACAGATCGACGATTGTGCCGCTGGCTTCAGTCGACGGTTGAGGGGTATCTGCTGTTTGACTACGCCGTAAAGCGAGCTTGTCCCGCAATGAGTCGGGCTACGAGGTAGGCTAAGCAGCCCTAACCAGTAGTCCTGCGCAGCTGTTGGAAACAGAGCCAGATGTATGGTTTGCCTCGCGGAGAAGCATAATGGCGCGGTGTTGTCGTAGGCGCCCCAGCACAGCGTGCAAGTGGAGGTGAGTCGAACAAAGAGTTGGACACACCGGGGATTGAACCCGGGGCCTTCCGCTTGCAAAGCGGACGCGCTACCACTGCGCTATGCGCCCAGCAAATCGATAACCTAACCTTCACCTTTGACACGAATCTATGACGCCCCCACGCGCGATATAGTCACGCATTCACATACAGCACATTTGCATGCACTTGCACTATCCTCTACCACCCGCTTCTTGCATCGAATTGCACGTTTGGCCTTCAACTATTCATCCAAGCGCCAACAGCGAGCTGACTCGTCCAAACAAGTCACCAGCCATCGCCCCACACCCGAGTCTTTTGACGTCGAGACTACACCAACACACAAACGGCAAAACCGGCGTGGTGGTAGGACGAACTCGACAGATCGACGATTGTGCCGCTGGCTTCAGTCGACGGTTGAGGGGTGTCTGCTGTTTGACTACGCCGTAAAGCGAGCTTGTCCCGCAATGAGTCGGGCTACGAGGTAGACTAGCCAGTCTTTACCAGTCCTGCGCAGCTGTCGAAGACAAAGCCAGATGAATGATTTGCCTCGCCGAGAAGCATAATGGCGCGGTGTTGTCGTAGGCGCCCCAGCACAGCGTGCAAGTGGAGGTGAGTCGAACAAAGAGTTGGACACACCGGGGATTGAACCCGGGGCCTTCCGCTTGCAAAGCGGACGCGCTACCACTGCGCTATGCGCCCAGCAAATCGATAACCTAACCTCCACCTTCCACACGAATTTATGACGCCCCCACGCGCGATATAGTCACGCATTCACATACAGCACATTTGCATGCACTTGCACTATCCTCTACCACCCGCTTCTTGCATCGAATTGCACGTTTGGCCTTCAACTATTCATCCAAGCGCCAACAGCGAGCTGACTCGTCCAAACAAGTCACCAGCCATCGCCACACACCCGAGTCGTTTGACGTCGAGACTACACCAACACACAAACGGCAAAACCGGCGTGGTGGTAGGACGAACTCGACAGATCGACGATTGTTGCGACGGCTTCAGGTGACGGTTGAGGGGTATCTGCTGCTTGACTACGCCGTAAAGCGAGCTTGTCCCGCAATGAGTCGGGCTACGAGGTAGGCTAAGCAGCCCTAACCAGTAGTCCTGCGCAGCTGTTGGAAACAGAGCCAGATGTATGGTTTGCCTCGCGGAGAAGCATAATGGCGCGGTGTTGTGGTAGGCGCCCCAGCACAGCGTGCAAGTGGAGGTGAGTCGAACAAAGAGTTGGACACACCGGGGATTGAACCCGGGGCCTTCCCCTTGCAAAGCATAGGGCGCTACCCACTGCGCTATGCGCCCAGCAAAATCGATAACCTAACCTCCACCTTCCACACGAATTTATGACGCTTCCACTCGCGATATAGTCACACATTCACATACAGCACATTTGCATGCACTTGCACTATCCTCTTCCACCCGCTTCTTGCATCGAATTGCACGTTTGGCCTTTCAACTATTCATCCAAGCGCCAACAGCGAGCTGACTCGTCCAAACAAGTCAACCAGCCATCGCCACACACCCGAAGTCTTTTTGACGGTCGAGACGACACCAACACACCAAACGGCAAAACCGGCGGTGGTGGTCAGGGACGAACTCGACAGATCGACCGATTGTTGCCGCTGGCTTCAGTCCGACGGTTGAGGGGTGGTCTTGCTGTTTTGACTACGCAGTAAAGCGAGCTTGTCCCCGCAATGAGTCGTGCTACGAGGTAGACTAGGCCAGTCTTTTACCAGTCCTGCGCAGCTGTCGAAAACAGAGCCAGATGTATGGTTTGCCCTCGCGGAGAAGCATAATGGCGCGATGTTGTCGTAGGCGCCCCAGCACAGCGTGCGAGTGGAGGTGAGTCGAACAAAGAGTTGGACACACCGGGGATTGAACCCGGGGCCTTCCGCTTGCAAAGCGGACGCGCTACCACTGCGCTATGCGCCCAGCAAATCGATAGCCTAACCTCCACCTTCCACACGAATTTATGACGCCCCCACGCGCGATATAGTCACGCATACACATACAGCACATTTGCATGCACTTGAACTATCCTCTACCACCCGCTTCTTGCATCGAATTGCACGTTTGGCCTTCATCTATTCATCCAAGCGCCAACAGCGAGCTGACTCATTCAAACAAGTCACCAGCCATCGCCACACACCCGAGTCTTTTGACGTCGAGACTACACCCACCACACCAACAGACAAAAGCGGGCGTGGTGGTAAGAACGACCTCAGCAGATCGACGATTGTGCCGGCTGGCTTCAGTCGACGGTTGAGTGGTGTCTGCTGTTTGACTACGCCGTAAAGCGAGCTTGTCCCGCAATGAGTCGGGCTACGAGGTAGACTAAGCAGCCCTAAGCAGTAGTCCTGCGCAGCTGTTGGAAACAGAGCCAGATGTATGGTTTGCCTCGCGGAGAAGCATAATGGCGCGGTGTTGTAGTAGGCGCCGCAGCACAGCGTGCAAGTGGAGGTGAGTCGAACAAAGAGTTGGACACACCGGGGATTGAACCGTTCGCCTTCCGGGGCCAAAGCGGACGCGCTACCACTGCGCTATGCGCCCAGCATATCGATAACCTAACCTCTACCTTCCACACGAATTTATGACGCCCCCACGCGCGATATAGTCACGCATTCACATACAGCACATTTGCATGCACTTGCACTATCCTCTACCACCCGCTTCTTGCATCGAATTGCACGTTTGGCCTTCAACTATTCATCCAAGCGCCAACAGCGAGCTGACTCGTCCAAACAAGTCACCAGCCATCGCCACACACCCGAGTCTTTTGACGTCGAGACGACACCAACACACAAACGGCAAAACCGGCGAGGTGGTAGGACGAACTCGACAGATCGACGATTGTGCCGCTGGCTTCAGTCGACGGTTGAGGGGTGTCTGCTGTTTGACTACGCCGTAAAGCGAGCTTGTCCCGCAATGAGTCGGGCTACGAGGTAGGCTAAGCAGCCCTAACCAGTAGTCCTGCGCAGCTGTTGGAAACAGAGCCAGATGTATGGTTTGCCTCGCGGAGAAGCATAATGTCGCGGTGTTGTCGTAGGCGCCCCAGCACAGCGTGCGAGTGGAGGTGAGTCGAACAAAGAGTTGGACACACCGGAGATTGAACCCGGGGCCTTCCGCTTGCAAAGCGGACGCGCTACCACTGCGCTATGCGCCCAGCAAATCGATAACCTAACCTCCACCTTCCACACAAATTTATGACGCCCCCACGCGCGATATAGTCACGCATTCACATACAGCACATTTGCATGCACTTGCACTATCCTCTACCACCCGCTTCTTGCATCGAATTGCACGTTTGGCCTTCAACTATTCATCCAAGCGCCAACAGCGAGCTGACTCGTCCAAACAAGTCACCAGCCATCGCCACACACCCGAGTCTTTTGACGTCGAGACTACACCAACACACAAACGGCAAAACCGGCGTGGTGGTAGGACGAACTCGACAGATCGACGATTGTGCCGCTGGCTTCAGTCGACGGTTGAGGGGTGTCTGCTGTTTGACTACGCCGTAAAGCGAGCTTGTCCCGCAATGAGTCGGGCTACGAGGTAGGCTAAGCAGCCCTAACCAGTAGTCCTGCGCAGCTGTTGGAAACAGAGCCAGATGTATGGTTTGTCTCGCGGAGAAGCATAATGGCGCGGTGTTGTCGTAGGCGCCCCAGCACAGCGTGCGAGTGGAGGTGAGTCGAACAAAGAGTTGGACACACCGGGGATTGAACCCGGGGCCTTCCGCTTGCAAAGCGGACGCGCTACCACTGCGCTATGCGCCCAGCAAATCGATAACCTAACCTCCACCTTCCACACGAATTTATGACGCTTCCACGCGCGATATAGTCACGCATTCACATACAGCACATTTGCATGCACTTGCACTATCCTCTACCACCCGCTTCTTGCATCGAATTGCACGTTTGGCCTTCAACTATTCATCCAAGCGCCAACAGCGAGCTGACTCGTCCAAACAAGTCACCAGCAATCGCCGCACACCCGAGTCTTTTGACGTCGAGACTACACCAACACACAAACGGCAAAACCGGCGTGGTGGTAGGACGAACTCGACAGATCGACGATTGTGCCGCTGGCTTCAGTCGACGGTTGAGGGGTGTCTGCTGTTTGACTACGCCGTAAAGCGAGCTTGTCCCGCAATGAGTCGGGCTACGAGGTAGGCTAAGCAGCCCTAACCAGTAGTCCTGCGCAGCTGTTGGAAACAGAGCCAGATGTATGGTTTGCCTCGCGGAGAAGCATAATGGCGCGGTGTTGTCGTAGGCGCTCCAGCACAGCGTGCAAGTGGAGGTGAGTCGAACAAAGAGTTGGACACACCGGGGATTGAACCCGGGGCCTTCCGCTTGCAAAGCGGACGCGCTACCACTGCGCTATGCGCCCAGCAAATCGATAACCTAACCTCCACCTTTGACACGAATTTATGACGCCCCCACGCGCGATATAGTCACGCAGTCACATACAGCACATTTGCATGCACTTGCACTATCCTCTACCACCCGCTTCTTGCATCGAATTGCACGTTTGGCCTTCAACTATTCATCCAAGCGCCAACAGCGAGCTGACTCGTCCAAACAAGTCACCAGCCATCGCCACACACCCGAGTCGTTTGACGTCGAGACTACACCAACACACAAACGGCAAAACCGGCGTGGTGGTAGGACGAACTCGACAGATCGACGATTGTGCCGCTGGCTTCAGTCGACGGTTGAGGGGTGTCTGCTGTTTGACTACGCCGTAAAGCGAGCTTGTCCCGCAATGAGTCGGGCTACGAGGTAGACTAGCCAGTCTTTACCAGTCATGCGCAGCTGTTGGAAACAGAGCCAGATGTATGGTTTGTCTCGCGGAGAAGCATAATGGCGCGGTGTTGTCGTAGGCGCCCCAGCAGCGTGCAAGTGGAGGTGAGTCGAACAAAGAGTTGGACACACCGGGGATTGAACCCGGGGCCTTCCGCTTGCAAAGCGGACGCGCTACCACTGCGCTATGCGCCCAGCAAATCGATAACCTAACCTCCACCTTCCACACGAATTTATGACGCCCCCACGCGCGATATAGTCACACATTCACATACAGCACATTTGCATGCACTTGCACTATCCTCTTCCACCCGCTTCTTGCATCGAATTGCACGTTTGGCCTTCAACTATTCATCCAAGCGCCAACAGCGAGCTGACTCGTCCAAACAAGTCACCAGCCATCGCCACACACCCGAGTCTTTTGACGTCGAGACGACACCAACACACAAACGGCAAAACCGGCGTGGTGGTAGGACGAACTCGACAGATCGACGATTGTGCCGCTGGCGTCAGTCGGCGGCTGAGGGGTGTCTGCTGTGTGACTACGCCGTAAAGCGAGCTTGTCTCGCAATGAGTCGGGCTACGAGGTAGACTAGCCAGTCTTTTACTAGTCATGCGCAGCTGTTGGAAACAGAGCCAGATGTATAGTGTTGTCTCTCGCAGAAACATAATGGACGCGGTGTTTGTCCGTATGCGCCCCCTCCCCAGCGTCCCACGTGGAGGTGAGTCGAACAAAGAGTTGGACACACGGGGGATTGAACCCGGGGCCTTCCGCTTGCAAAGCGGACGCGCTACCACTGCTCTATGCGCCCAGCAAATCGATAACTTAACCTCTACCTTCCACACGAATTTATGACGCTTCCACGCACGATATAGTCACGCATACACATACAGCACATTTGCATGCACTTGCACTATCCTCTACCACCCGCTTCTTGCATCGAATTGCACGTTTGGCCTTCATCTATTCATCCAAGCGCCAACAGCTCAGTCGACCGTCCAAACAAGTCCCCAGCCATCGCCACACACCCGAGTCTTTTGAAGTCGAGACGACACCAACACACAAACGGCAAAACCGGCGTGGTGGTAGGACGAACTCGACAGACCGACGATTGTGCCGCTGGCTTCAGCCGACGGTTGAGGGGTGTCTGCTGTTTGAATACGCCGTAAAGCGAGCTTGTCCCGCAATGAGTCGGGCTACGAGGTAGACTAGCCAGTCTTTACCAGTCATGCGCAGCTGTTGGAAACAGAGCCAGATGTATGGTTTGTCTCGCGGAGAAGCATAATGGCGCGGTGTTGTCGTAGGCGCCCCAGCACAGCGTGCAAGTGGAGGTGAGTCGAACAAAGAGTTGGACACACCGGGGATTGAACCCGGGGCCTTCCGCTTGCAAAGCGGACGCGCTACCACTGCGCTATGCGCCCAGCAAATCGATAACCTAACCTCCACCTTCCACACGAATTTATGACGCCCCCACGCGCGATATAGTCACGCATTCACATACAGCACATTTGCATGCACTTGCACTATCCTCTACCACCCGCTTCTTGCATCGAATTGCACGTTTGGCCTTCAACTATTCATCCAAGCGCCAACAGCGAGCTGACTCGTCCAAACAAGTCACCAGCCATCGCCACACACCCGAGTCTTTTGACGTCGAGACGACACCAACACACAAACAGCAAAACCGGCGTGGTGGTAGGACGAACTCGACAGATCGACGATTGTGCCGCTGGCTTCAGTCGACGGTTGAGGGGTGTCTGCTGTTTGACTACGCCGTAAAGCGAGCTTGTCCCGCAATGAGTCGGGCTACGGAGGTAGACTAGCCAGTCTTTACCAGTCTCCAAGAAATGCACAGGGAGGTGGAGAACATCCGCGAGCGTCGCCGCCTCTAGAACATGAACCGCTCAAATGGAGTACCATGCAATTTCACTATTGGAGATTTCGTACTCTGGTCTAGAATTGACTCTCGACTTTCCGTCAACAAGCTTTTGGCGCGCTGGGTTGGCCCTTTTGAAGTTGTGGAAGAACACCCACTCAGACACGATCCGCCACCTGCTAAGCAACCAGCGTAATATGGTACATGTATTCCGTTTGAAATTCTATCGCGATGGCAATCTTGGAATCAGTGAGGAGCTACTCGCGCACGTTGGAAACCAAGGCTTGGTCCTTGGAGTCGACAAGATCAAAGGGCACCGCAAGGTTCAGCAATCCTGGCAGCTGTTGATCTCCTGGATTGGTATTACAGGACGAAGAAGACTCATGGGAGCCTTTACAGACACTTTTAGGTGATGTACCTGACCGTGTGGTTGCATACATCGATGAAATCGGTGACTACGAGCTTGTACAAGCTGCCTCGTCAATGCAGGAAAGTTCCAGCTCCTAAAGACGCGTGGGAGCTGAGATATGACGCTCTGGCGAAGATGCTTCATCAAGCGGCGAGAGTTTCAACTACGAAAGAGGCGGCGAGAAATTTGCTGCGTGACCAGAGAAATCGCTGGTGGGGCGAGAAACGAACGCCACTCGACGTATTCAAGCTGCTGAACCTTGACAAGGTCGCCAGTAATCCTCTCGCAAGTCCGGCGCTTGACGTGTGGAATTCTTACCTGAAATCGTTTAACTACTGGAGCCGTGGGACCGGAAGAGAGACGACGACGATCGACACCTTCACGGCAGCGTATGGGGATGCGGCTCTCGCAAAGATCATCAACACGGCGAGGACGGTTCCGGAGACAGAGAAAATGGCCACG